AAATAGAACCAGGCTTTTAAATTTTAAAATAAAGGTGCTTAGTCACATATTATCATATTTTTGGAATAAAACTGAAGATCCTCAAGCATCACTTGTGCCAATCCGAGCAAACAACTACAATTAGTCCTGATCTTATGGTCTCATTCCTAAAATGCTTTAAAAAAAWKKTYCYKKTTTTTTTTTATAAAAAAAAATCATCATGGCAAAGATTACTTACTTACTAATACTAAAAGTATTAAATATCTTGTCAGAGGGATTGATGAGTTGATGCACTGCAGTTGAAAAAGGAAAACACTGATGTCAACATTATCAGTCTCTGTCAAACTAAAAGCCGTGTCCAACAACCGGAGGCAGTTTTCCTCCACCAGCCCACTGAGCGAGCAAACGTGGCCCCAAAAGACTAAAACCATGGAAGCAGAGCACTCACAGCTTTAAACAGCAACTTCAAGTATTTCTACAAACAAAATATTAGGAGAAATTAGACACGGAACACGAAAATGGCTAAAATTTGTTGTTTATCCTGTTAACGTTCAGCGGAACATCCGCATGCCGTTTTTGTTTTGTTTTATTTTGTAATGTCGTTTCTGTGTTTCTGTTCATCATGTGTCTGTGTGCAATGCATCAAAGTTGACCCTAGGCCCTCCTCTTTCGATTGACACCTCATTTGACCAACTGTGTTCAARTATCGGCTGTCCAGAGCCAATAATATATGACAAGTGACCAACTTCCAGTTTCCGTTATCCTGGGCTTGATTGACTGTAGATTYGGCCAGTCAGCTCCGAGCTTCGTTCTGATGCCACAGCTGTGTAGCCAATCACCGTACTTTTCATTTGGTGTATACTGTATATTGAGGGGGTGGGAACTATTTTAGTGACGGGACAAGGTAAACACGCAGCAGGTCGTCATATTTAGACAGTCCTGCTATGCTAATGAAGGAAGCTACGCTCACAGGAAAACGTTTTTTTTTTTACCATTGTTTTTTGGCCAGTTAGCTGACTAAACATGCTGATAAGATGAAAATATACAGTATTTGTTATTAAGTGTTTCGAGTGCTTCAAGACATGGAAGAGTGGTTTTTGTGGCCAGAAGAAGTATTTTGTTAGGATAAAAACACTTCCGGTTGGCCATTTTGAGTCGCTAATTTCGTCATATTTGAGAACAAATATGCATCAAATGTGAGTGAAAAACAAATATTTTTTGCTGCTGGTGGTTTTATAAGCTGTGTGGAATGTTAATGCTTTGAAAGAAATAAGGATATATTTGTTTATTCTTGTTTTGGCTGTTTATTGGTGGAAATTTGGCTGAATGGACTCCAGGTTGTCTAAATATTTCTGAACATTAATATATATATTTTTTTTATTTAATCATGCTGTGAGTAAATATGGATAGTAGAATGTGTTTTGTGGGGGTTTTATCTTTAATTTGGGCCCAGAGTGAAGTCCCTGTGTTGAAGCATTTAGGAATTACAGTGTTTTAGACAAAGTGTACAGTCTGGACATAATTGTACAGTTGTACAAATATGCAAATGAGACATGCTGGATTGTACTATGTCTTAAATATTCATATTTTATGCTACTGTTACCAAATTTGAACTGGTAAAAGTTGGAAATTAATATTTTAGCCCAGTAAAAATTGTTTATTGATATCTCATTCACTTCACATTCTGTGATACTTTATTAATAAAAAAATAAAAATTTAAGGAGGAAAAATATCTTGATTTTTGTGTATTTTACTTCAATATACTAAATACTAGTTACAGTTACAAAGAATATGACTGCTGAAGTTAAAAAAATTCAGATTATTAGCTTTAAAACGAGACCAAGTTTGTGAATTTACTCTAAAGGGTTCAAAAGCAGTACTTCATTTAATTTGTGTCTACTTTTTAAGGTGTTTTATGGTATTTTAGTTTTTGGTTTTTTTTTTTTTAGCTGAAGCCTGTAAAACCAGTCAATGGGCCTGAAGCTAGTTACACCCCTGGACTGGTTGACTTTCCATTGAGGGACCATCACAGAAACACACAAGACAGACACTTTCACACTCAAAATAGAATCTCCAATCCACCAGATTACAGAAGAAAAACTGGATGCATTACGGAAGAAACATTCATGCATTCCGTTTTTACCTGCACACAAAGATCCACCTGCCCCCTCARGTAACAAGCATACGCAGCCCACATTTGTGACCAGGTTGACTACGCACCCTGGCTGCCACAGCTGGTGGCACCAAAAATAACAGATAAAAAATAAGACTCCAACTTGAATGAACGACATGCAGAAGAAGAATAAAGCAAATGATGGTTCTGTGTGGAAAACTGTGAAGACACTTCCTGCTTTCAGCATTTGGATGATTTATAACTCAGGGACCAMAAGGACACAAAATCTAAYTCCAGGGAGAAAAATAAAATCASTCAAATTGTGTTT